TGGCATTTTCATCTTCCTGAAGGTGATAACCTAGATACCCTCAGCTTTGACAAAGGTCAGTTCATTTACAGGCTACCCTGTCAATTTAGGATCTCCAGCTCTCCTACTTTCTTATATCTCAGGAGGTCACCTGCCACCCCCACCCCCCTAACCCCAGCCCAACCCCAGCCCCTAGCACTCAAGTGACCATCCGGGCATGCGTTTTACCCAAACAATGGGGCCGGGCAACCCCCCCCCCCCCCCCCCCCCCCCCCCCCGGCCCACTATCAGCAAGAAGATGGCGGCTCTGCTCGAGGCACGGCTGTGTTAAATGTACCGCACCGCCCCAGGACTGTTCGCTGAGAACTGTGGCATCTCACTACCACTCGAGTGCCGGAGCGTAAGAGAAGCATTCAAGGTTCTTCTTCGACATGTCTGCGCCACATGTGTCGATTTGTATGCTTTTGGTGGGCCACTGTCCCCCTCCCCTCTCGCCCATGTCCAATTCTCTCCACCCCCCCCCCCCCCATAGTGAGTGTGGCTCCCCCAAGTTTCTAGCGTCTCAGTGCAACAGAACATTAATTATGGTAACTCCAAATTATATCAACTTTTACGGAGGTTCATAATCATTGTTTCACCTATAATCAGGTAAGTCACGATTGCTCCGTTGCGGCTATCGAACGGGGTTTCGGTAGCAGCCTGTAACAGTCGTGTAAAACAACATACACTCTAAATACCCCAGACTGTGTATGTCTAAAGGTAGAATAAATGTTTGTTAATGGTCCGGGAGGCTGGCGAAAAGACAACACGGGAAGCTAACCCCTCTATTACTTTGTCCTTCTCAACAGTTTCATCCAAATTTTCCATGATCAACCTCCAATTGTTATTTTGCACGCCTGTAACCTCGATGAACTGGCCCCCTATAAGAAGACATCAGTAATAATCACCACCGAATAATGTCTGTGGAAGGAAGGCTGTGCATGATATCTAAACTTTCCTCTGTGTTGCCCATATTCGAGCGGAAAAAAATGTTCGGATCCCAGGCCCACATTTGGGGACCCCAAATTCCATGAGATAGCAGAACCTTCTTAAATAATTCACATCGACATCCCCCCTTCCTCGTAAGATAACACACCCGGACCCGAGTGATAGGCGTGCCAAAATAACCCCATACTTTTTGACATAACATCACAAATAATATAGCAGCACTCACGTTCCGCACGAGTTTCGACTTCGACGCCGGATTTGCTTGTTCTTCTTGAGCACACGACGCCGCGGATGATCTCCCCAGGCTCACTGACCCAGTCGCAGACGACTCAGACGCAGACAGCACCTCTAGACATCTCTGCAGCCGCGAGCGGGGCAAACGGTGCTGCCCCTCTACCACAGCTGTTCACGCTGCGAGGTCATGCAGCGCATGGCGTCGTTCAAACAGGGGTGCGCCCAGTGCGGTGGCCGGGTGGGGCGGGCGGCTCGAACGGCTAGATAGGAGCTGGCCAGGTAGCTGCAGCCGGTGACGTACCAGCCGGATTCGCGTACACATTCTGAACGGCATGACAAGTTCTGCTGGCGAGGCCTGTCGTCCAGTATGTGCCTCGTTAAATCCAGCCTGCGCCGCCCAGGCCGTGTCCGCCGTCATGTGCAGGAAAGAGAAGCTCTCTTTATAGATGCGTTACCAAACGAAGCTATGGCACACAGCGATCACTTAAAGCAATATGTATACTACAAAGTGCAAGCAGCCTGCCTGATCCCAGCCCGGTTGTCGTCTGCCCCTGCGTCCACGGACAGAGGCCAGAAGTGCGAGCAAGGGTGAAGCCGGCGCCTGGGCGCGGCGCTAGCTCGGAAGGGGGGAGGAGGGTCGCGTCAACAGAGCCCGGACGGCGGCCGGGCTTTCCCGTGCACCGGCCCGGACCGCTGCGTCACAACATCCGCCCAGACGACGGCCCCGACGCCGCGTGACGCATGCTGCCCTTCTGACGGCCGCGGATCAGGCGGAAACTACGGGCCTGGCCCCTTTGTCACCCAGCAACACAGCACGCGCCGAACACGGTGCCTTCCTGAGCGGCCGTTCTGACTACAAGCCAAGAAGCCACAGATGCCATCGTACTGTGTCAAATCCACTCGCTGTTTTTCATGGACAGTACTCGCCCGCCACCCGTAACATTCACTGCCATCCTTTTACCATTTTGGCATTTAAGTGCAGTTATGATAACCATCAAGATATATTTCTGTCTAAACTGTGGTTTGGTTTCGTATATAACAGAAACCATGTGAATGCATATAATATTGACCAAAAAACCATAGCTAGTGGCACTAGTTGGCAGCTCCTGGCGTGTTTGTTCGCCATTCGGAAGCGCTTAAACGCGTTCGTTAAGAGCCCAGAGCCTCCCCTAGCCGGCTTGGGATATTCACCCAGGCATCCTAATTCCGCGATTTAGGTCACCCCCATCCTGTGATACAGATGAGATGGAACGTATGTGTTCTATCGGAGACCCCACAGTGAAAACGACGTAGTTTTTGTTGGGCTGTGATTTTCTCGGTAAGAGCACCTTTTTTTGTTGCAGACAGCTGCAAGGAGGCTATCTGAAGCTTGTTCATAGCTTCGGGTAATCATCACGAAGGACGGCCAAGGTGTGCACAGTTGTCAGACTGGGACCGGAAAAAATCTACTATTTGTAGCTCCAGCTCCAAGAAACGGCAGCTCGTGGCTGCCGCCACCACGACAAACTTAAGGTTGAAAAACAACTGACAACAGCCTTTCACAAAAGAAGCTTGCTGAGGGTCGGCTGAAATTCGGGAGTGAGTAGATGCCATTGGAGTTTCCGCTTGCTTCGGTATGCTATGATGCGGGCAACCATTCGGACCCGTACAGCACACGCTTCAGGCGCATTACATAAAGTCGCATATCTGTGTATCGCACAGTGTGCTCCGAATTAGTCTTTCTAAGCTATCAAAGTCTGCGCAACATGTCAGTTCCTTGCGAGTGCGGCGCGACATGCGTCATTGCCCAAGCTTTGCAGCATCTTTTCGGCGGCAGATCTCACGCAGACGGTGATTCTTTTTAACCACAGATTTCAAGAGACTGAGTAACCGTAGTTTAATGTAACTCTCCTCTCGCCAAATGCCAAAACATGCCGCTCCCCCGCGCGCTCCTTACGCGAGCTGTGGCCGGCACCGGTATCGAATGGGCGTGAAATCGTGCTGCGGAGGTCGCAAACTGTTCAACCCATCGATTCGTGCAAATCCCATGCCGTCTGTCACCGTATGTGGTGTTTTTTTTCTGTTTAATAAGTGTGCGTATGTTGTCCGCTAAAATGTAATTAAGATTCGACTTGGCACGTCTAATCTAATATGGGTCCTGAGCAAAACAGGCTTTTTCGGCAGGAAAAACACCAACGTAAATGGCCAATGATCGGAGGCCTTAGACTAAAACAAGGAAAAGACGCTAGTTGCACTAGGGGATGCCATGCTAACAAAACGCAGTGGAAATTACCTCATCGGCAATATCCCTCATATCATTAGATCATAAGGCGGTAATCATAAGGTCACCGGACGAGTTGTTAGCTTGATGCTCATGACACATAATTGGTATGCGCCGTAGCTCTTCTGAGTATGTGCCCGAAGATGTAGGCATTCAATTAGTTACTGGCCGGCTTATTTCGTCTTTTTCACTGCAAACATAGCTTCGATACATCTGCGAATCCATTAGAAGCTGCTCAACATTTACGTGTTTTACGAATGTCATTAAGCACTTACTCGCGCGTCAGAATATTGTCGTATCCCTTGACACCGATTCTACAATCCCGCAATGCCGGGATGGAGGATGAGTATCGGTGTTGACGCCGTTTCCTAAATCCGTTAAATGTTCGACGTTGGCACCAGATGAGCCGTTCCCTGGGACTTGTTGTCCAAAGTCCAATTTAAGTCCAGAAATGAACCAACAGTGGTCCAAAAAAACTTCAAAAAAAATCCGGTTGTCAAAAAATTTACAGATCGGCAAACTTGGTCTTTTGTCATAAAAGCGGTAGCCGGGGAATCAAAACTGAGGAATCAAAACTGGAGCAAACTGCGAATGTTGGAAGAATCATTGATTGCACCCGCATCTCAAGCTTAAATCCCATAGCCTAAGAAATATGTGGCAGTGTGCACAATGCGGGTTTCTTTCTTTTGTTTCGAAAAGTAATATTTTTAGTGCGCTCTATCAGCAACGTGACCATGCTCCGAAATAAACCTGTGATGGAAACGATCAGCAACAAGTTAGTTGAGATGCATACTAATTTGCTACACGACAGAGTGATATCGGCTGTGCCCCTGTCCGTCCAAGTTTCAAAATGATCTTCAGAATTTTGAAAATTTTCAGAGCTTTTTGGAATTCAATCGGCACCTCTGGTGGGCACACATGGGGTTACAAACCGATGAGGTGGGCTGAGCCAAACGTCTTGAGGGCCTCTAGTTTTTATATAGCTGTGTGCATCAGCAACACTTGGTGTAAGTGACTTAAGACACCACCTAAGGTAGGAACATCACGCAGCATTCCCGGAGCGTTTAGCTCAATTTTCTTTTGACAGGTTACCAGATACCGGGTCATCTTTAGTCACCGGTTGCCCCCTTCCCCTTAAGCATCTGAAACCAACATGTGAAGCATGGTGCGCACACGCTTGGCAAGATATGGCTTGGCTGAACACAGGAAGAGGTACGATATGAGTAGCTTCTTAAATGTCATGGTGTTTGTTACCCATGACCCAAGTCGTTCGTCACAACATTAGTCATCACACCATCATAACCGCATGTTCACAATTTTTTGTGGACAGAAATTTCGATAAAACTTAAGACATGGCAATCCATTTTGCAGGGGGCGTGGATGCTGCCGTCATTTGCACAGGATCTTTGTACGCCAGAAATGAACTGCCTAGTAGCCGTCCCTCTGTCCCACTCAACAAGTTTGACCCCCACAGCTGCTAAAACGAAACAAAAAATGTCCAAAATGGTCAGCAGATTTTTTTCGAACTAGATCCACCTACCTTTTCAATGGCGTATTCTTGAGGACACATCAAGAATGTCCTGGGATTTTCCTCTTGAAGAACGTAAGTCCGGTTAGTAGTGACATCTGCCGGGCGCTCGTGGAAGCTGTATTTGCTGGGATCGGGAAACACCCACTCCGTCGATGACGAGCGCCAGGGAGCGGTACAGAAGAGCGCCGAACACCACGGCTGAAATGGGGGGTACCGGGCCTCAGTGAGAGCGTGTTCGAGTTTCAGGCACATTCTGGCACCGCGCAGCCCGCCGCTCTCCAGCCGACGCCAGCCGGCCCGGGTTCGACCGACAGCAGCCGGCCCTGGTTCAGCCGACACCAGCCGGCCCGTGCCCAGCCGACACCAGCCGGCCTGGGCTCGGCCGACAGCAGCCGGCCCGCGTCCAGTCGACACCAGCCGGTACGGGCCCAGACGACACCAGCCGGCACGGGTCCGGTCGACAGCAGCCGGCCCGTGCCCAGTCGACACCAGCCGGTACGGGCCCAGACGACACCAGCCGGTCGGGGCCCAGCCGACACCAGCCGGCCCGGGTTCGGCCGACAGCAGCCGGCCCTGGTTCAGCCAACACCAGCCGGCCCGTGCCTAGCCGACACCAGCCGGCCCGGGCTCGGCCGACAGCAGCCGGTACGGGCCCAGACAACACCAGCCGGTACGGGCCCAGACGGCACCAGCCGGCCCGGGTCTAGCCGACAGCAGCCTGTCCGAGTCCAGCCGACACCAACGAAAACGGTAGTGTCAGCTGACTAGGACTAGGCCCGGGAGTGCAGGCGTCTATTTGTTTTTTAAGGGCCTTGACACCACTAATGCTGGTTTTCCCCGTCCCTTCGCAATATTGGTTTGTCCTCTCCAATATTCTTGGCTGGAATATCTAAAAGCACAGGAAAATATTGATCAGCATCGTGTAGCATGAGCAGCGTCTAGCATGGGCTCCCTTAATCGGCCCTGCATCAACGATGTCGGAACAGCCAGCATTCTTATTAATTATACTTAGGTTCTATTGTCGGCAGTTAGATCAAGAGGACAGTATAAGAAACATAATTCATATTTCAGGTTATTCAGCCATCGCAGAAGATCACTAGATAGAATAAGTAACGTATGTGTACGTTTTGTTGCTTTCGATCTGTTGGGCGCTCTAAGTTCGAGAAATGCACACTTAGCTCAGGCATGGGGACGAAGCCACCTTCAGCCTCAGCGTCGACCTAGGAAAGCCGTAGTTTTTTCTAATGGCTTCGGGTTCAGCTTCGACCTAAGACAAGTTGTCGAGGCTGGTTTGTCTTCGGCTTCTGCTTCTGCCGTTGGGAACGGCTGGACCCGGTTTTAACTTTGTGCTATTTTTGCGTGTTTGGGTTCAACGGCTTCAACGGCCTCGGCCTCGGCTTCAACTTCGGCGTCAAACGTGACCTCTGAATTATGGCTCCGGTCTTGGCCTCGTGTCATCTTGAGCAGCTAGCTTCGCCTCTTTCAAGGTGACTTTTTCCTTGCAGTTGCATTTTTGCGTCGCAAAAACAATGTTGCCCATGCTTTCAGCCCAAAGTCCTTTTAACGTCTCCATGCTGCGACGCGTTTATGGCTTAAACCAAAGGCTAGCGAGTCATTTTCAGAACCAGTTAACAAATGACGAAGGTCAGGGAGTAGGCTGTACGAAATATTGTGCACCTGCATCCTGGCACGCAAGGCGAAGACGATCGTCTGAAAATTTGCCATCCGTAATGCTTACGCTCCGTCTCAAGCATTTGGCAGGTTCCTTATGGTGTTTTCTACTTCCATGCAGTTTTTACAGACGAAGAGCTATTCTGGATTCTCAGAACAACGTTATACACTGGATTTGGCTATGGCTTTGGGTTAGTTCTTTTTACTTGGTGATTTCGGCGTTGGCTTCGCGCTTCCTAACCGCACAACCGCTTAATTCTGCTGCGGCTTTGCGGGTAAAAAGCTCAAAATTGCTGGCTTCAAATCAAACTTTATTGCTTTAAAGATAAGTAACCACTAACGTCATTATTGGCTTCGAAGATTCATGTTCGACTTTGAAGGTAGAAGCCTGATTTCGTTCCATCGACTGACTTGGCTCATAACGTAGGGCAATTAAGGTAATGCGTCATATGTGGCGCCTCTGACCATGTGTGGTACCATCATAAGGTGTCATTTTAAGTGCACAGGCCGCGTGATACTGCGCTGGCGGAGCAGAATCCCTACCACCAAACCATCGTGTGCAAAACTCTATCCACTTCCCCCGAAAATCTTCGACTCTTTTATATCCTATATTATCGAACTCCATATGAATTTGTATTGGGAACAGGTGTGCCGATCCCAGAGCTCTGGTTTTTGAAACTGAGGGCCTCGCCAAATTATGCTAAATCTCCGATAGTTTTTGGATGAAGACGGTTAAAGAATTTCTTCTACGAAATAACCTGTATTTTGCATATTGGCTGTCATTGCGCGTTAACTAGGAGCTCAAAGGGAATGTCTCACGTTTGAAAATGTTTAAGCAAGCATCTGATAAGATGGAGGCACGCTCATTTATAACTATTGGTATACTTTTAAAAAGAAAAGACCGTTCCAGACAATACCATTTCTCTGTTTAGTAAATATGCTCCTCGATACATCATTGTTTGATTACGCCATCGTATGTCGCACAGTATTGAATGAGAGCCAATTGACGGTCGTTTGATCTGGAAATCGTGTTCACAAAAATATGATATGAACGTACCGACAATAACATCTGTATTGGTCTTGATTGCCGCACGGCCAATGGAATGGCAGGATATGAGTGACGTTAATATGACATCATGAATGTCAAGGTGACTTTGAATTCTCTTTCAGAGATACTCTCCCCGTTTTCGCGAGCGTGTAGCGCAAAAATTAGAGGAGCGTAGGCCTTAAAAAGGTCAGGATTGTGAAGAGCACCGAAAGGTCTTCAAGATGGCTACTCGAGATTAAAACCCATATAAATGTGGAACACTCCCTTTAAATCTTACACCCCTCTAGTTCTGAGCTAGACGCCCACGCAAATGGACTATTTCGTGCAAACTATTTCAAGGTCACCCAGACACACATGACACCATAGAAATGTCACACGAGTCCTGTCAACTCTGTTAGTACTAAGCATTCCTTGGTCATGCGGCGTGCAAAGCCGAGACAAATATGCACGCCGAGTTATTGTGTCTGGCATGCGTGAACATAATTTCTGGAACCAACGGATTTTTTTGACACTTCGTATGACCTTGACCTTTACCCTTAAAAGTTTAGTTTTGTAAGTGAGACAAAGTTGGACATCATGGGCATCAACATAGCATCCTTTTGGCTGAAAACTGCTTCATGAGCGAGGAAATATCATGGTATCTTGTCTTACGTGACCTTGCCCCTAGACCTAGTGAGTCTATGTAGACGTGATAAAATTTGGCATGACGAGAATCAACATGATTTATTTTTTGTTTGGTTGGATTTTTGAGACAAACGAAGGAATTCCAGATTCTCCAAGTTTTGTCCTTTTATTGGCCGGTAGAGGTCAAACTAAGACAGTTGTGAAAAGAATGTATCAGATTTACAGTTACAGTTATTTAATTGCAGGCGCATCCACGCGGTGGTTGTTCTGCGCCAGTCGTACCAGACAAAACCCACACGCAGTGCAAAGATACACACATACGCATATATACACAATTTAGTCAAAGAGCCAGCGCTTTAAAACAGTCAAGAACGCCTGGCGCGAGGGGGTGCGGGTGGCCGCCGCAGACTGCCGGTTCCCCGCGGCGGTGGCGTGGTACGGAAAGTGCCACTGGGTGCCGCCCAGGTCGGACGCGTGGCAGATGTAGCGAGCCAAAACCGCCCGAAACAGCCCGAGTTTGGCGTTGGGTAGGCTCGTTACGAATAGAGCACGTAATGCACTAGGAGGTTCGGGGACATGCAGCGCCCTGTACACATTCAGACAGTCCCGGTGGTGCACGAGATCCGCGACGCTACGCCAGCCGAGCGCCTCCAGAACAGGTAAAATGTGATCGTTGCGGCGTACACCACTCACTAGCCAGGCTGCAAAGTGCATCACCCTTTGCACCCTGTCTAGTTCACGCTCGGCCGCTCCACCCCAGATGGACCCCAGCAGAGTAGAGGATATAGGGAAGCCGTAGATTTGGACAAGAAACTTCAAAACCTCAGGAATGAAGTGGTGTTGGATTATGAGCCGGGATGCAAGGATTGCATTACAGCGCCGAACGAGAGAGGAGATGTGAGGTTCCCAGGTACGGTGGTGGTCGAGGAGTACACCCAGTACCTTCACTGAAGATGATGGATGAAAGTTTGCGTCGGAGATAGCAATGTCGAAGTTGCCAGTCTTTGTGATAGAGGGTTTGGTGCCGATCAGCACGAAGTCTGTCTTTTGGCTCATTTTTAGGCCATTTGACCGAAATCAGTTTTGAAATTACTGAATGAACTCCTCGACGCGGGCTTTTACGTTGGACAGGCCGACGACATCGGAGAGTTGGGTGTCATCGGCGTAAGGTAGTAGATGGTCGTGAGGTAGGAAGATGGATAGGTCATTGATGAAGATGAGGATTGGAACCGACAAAACATTCCTGAGCCACCCCGTGGGATAAAGATGAGGCAATCGAGCCTTCACTGACCACCTGCTCCCGACCGCTCAGGTAATCCCGAAATCATTCTGAGGACACCACGCACCATTCCAGCCCGCTGAGGAGGACTCCGTGATCAACGCTGTCAAAGGCTTTGCTGAGGTTAATCGTCGTTATCGACGCGACATGGTCGTTGTCGACAGCCCCTGCCAGCCACCCCACGACGACGTCGTCGATCGACGGAGTCGATCAGGGCGTCCTCCGTCGAGAGAGATGGACGATGGGCGTTTGCGACGGCATTAGTACATGATTGTCAAGAGGGTAAGAAGTGAGTTGCGAGCAGACGACCTTCTCGACAATTTTCGACAGAGCAGAGGGAATAGAAATGGGCCAAAGCTATTCAGGTCTAATCGATCGTCTGGCTTGAAACCGGGGTGACGCGGGCAATCTTCCAGACGGACGGAAAGGAGCGCGAT